CACACACACACACAGACACACGTATTGCACATACCTTTCGTGTGCTGGACGCAGCTAACGCTAGATTTCCCATTTGACCACAGCTTGGGCAAACGATTTGCTTATCCTTTCTGTTCCTTTGCGCTGGCTTAAATGTACTTAACGCCTGCTAAGCTGCGAAATGATTATGCTTAAGCGTTTATTACTTGTTTGTTGTGGTTGTCTTGGATATAATATGCACAAGCACACACACACACACACACACATACAGCTACACACATCAGTTGTTGTTCTGATTTATGCTGGATTAATTGCCATGACATTTGCTTGCGGCTGCTGATAATTTATATATAAAAATTATTATTATATGTATATTTTTGTTGTGCATTTAAACAATAAATTAAATACATTTTTTTATAAACTGGACACAATTTTTATTAATTTTCTTTTTTTTTAATATTTTTTTTCGTATTTTTTGCGATTTTATTTAAAATGTTACTTTAGACCCAGCCTAAAGCCTAGCCGCTCGCTTTACGAACCGCACTCGCCGAGAAGCCGCTGATAACTGAAGGCTTCGCATCTTAACAAGCTTCCAGTTCTTACCACTTTAAGGGCTCGGCAAAATGGCGCGAAAGTTTTTGCGTTCCACATGGAAAAAGCTCTGCGCAAAAGCTGCGTTCCACTCAAGCAACAAGACGACGGATGCTTCGGCTGCCAAGCAACAGGTGTGCGTGTGTGTGCATGTGGGTGTGCGTGCGTGTGTGAGTGTGTGTGTGCGTGTGTGCTTAGCGAATTTTGTCTAAAATTTTGTAAGGAAATGCAATTTGTTCTTTTTTTTTTTGTCTACTGCTAATCCGCTCATTTGATTTATGTAAATATTTATTAGAGGCACTGTTTGCTCGGCACTTTCAGAGCGGCAAAGGACACTGTTTGCTTAGGTGGCTCTGTTGGCCATGGTAAACATGCTGGCAAAAAAGGATATATTAGTTTTGAGTGGCAGCAGCCGCCATATCGTTCTTTGAAGCAGCGTTCAGCTCTAATCAAATTAAACTCGAGTGCGACGCGTGTCGACATTTATTAAAAATCCCAATATGCTCCAGGTGCGCCGAAATTGCCGGAAAGCAAACTCAAATTGAAAACGAAGCAAAACAAATGGAAAATGGAGAATGCAAAAAGAGAAAAAAAAAATGAATCAGTGCCAAACAATGCTAACCCAAAGCACACATACACAAACAATCATACACAAACACTCAAACACACACAGGCGGGCGCACTCACGTATTTAAATAAAAAGCCAACATGGAGCCTACTGATAATAACACAATGACAAAACATTTTTTTTTTTTTTGGCCACCTCTCCTCGTAATATATAAACAGCTGAGGGCTGAAAATGTGTCTGACACATTCGCCAAGCGTCCTTAACAGCTTAACAACAACAAGAACAACAACAACAACAGCAACAACAATAACGAGAACAAGCGAAACCTTCTAAAAATGCTAATGTCAACTGCCAGTGGAGAGCATTTAAATTCCATTTGAAAAATTCATTGCCAAGAGCAAAGACATGTTCGCCGTAAATGTCCTGCGTGCGTTGTATGCGCATATCCTTATGCATATTAAAGCAGCGAAGGACATGTCAATTGAATTAAATGCCAAGCATTTTAGCTCTGCTAAACAAGCCATAAAAGTGATTTTCCAGTGTGTGTGTGTGTGCGTGTGTGTGTGCGTGTGTGGGTGTGTTGAGTCTAAAACGCTTTCACTTCGAATCCTAGATTGATTCGCTAAGACAGACAAAAGTTTTTCAATTTAACAGCAGCAGCAGCAGCAGCTGGAAAAACTATCAGAGTTAACTGTTTGATTTTCTTTTTAGCCAAAGAGCTAAACGAAATTTCTTGGCAAAGGGTGAACGAGTGTGGATGGCTATTGTTATAAATTAAGCTTAGCTAATGATAGACAAGCGAATACCCTGTAATTCAAGTAGCTGAAGTCTTTAGACTTTGCAAAGCGTCAACAGCTTGGCTGAGCCAAGTTTTGCTAGTACAACAGGACGTATGCGTAATTGAAATAGATTTAAAGCCTAACTGCTGCCTAACTGCTTTCACTTTTCACTTTAAGGTTATTTATATTTTATAGGCTTTTTAATAAGGCCAACTTCTTTAGACCCCTCAAAGCTTAGCTAACAAGTTCTAGCTTTTACAGCATGTCGCATGCTTAACTTCACTTTATATGTATGATTAAAGTCCGAATACTTTTCAAATTCCGCAGCAAATCTTAAAAGCAACCGCAACATCAAAGATTTGCAGTCTATGAAAAAATGTCGTCAACTCTTGTCTTAGCGGTTCAGCCAAATGTCGAACATGTGACACCGAAACCAAAGTTGAGATGAATACGCAGACGATGCTGACAAAGTTGTAGCTGAACAATGGGCTAACTGAGCCAGCAGACAAGAGAGTAGCATCAGCAACAACAACAACAACAACCATGGAGAATCTTGTTATGCATAAAGCTCAGCCAAGCATGAACTAACTTCTTCTGAAGGCTGCCGCTGCACTGATAAACGAAATTGAGTCGTGAAATAATATGTGAGCAATGCTAATTAGATTACGAAATATTATAAAATTTTAGAAATATGTAAAATATATTTTAAAAATATTTTTATTAATAATAAAATGACAAATCCTTTATGGCATAGCTGTAACCTTTTCGACTCAGTAGTAGTCAAATATTTCAACATGAACACATAAATAAATTTGAAAAAAAAAAATTTTTAAATTACATAGCAAATTTTAGTCAGAAATGGAGCGTACGTAAGGTAAAAATATTTGAAGACGTAGCACAAGTGCTAGGTGTGAAGTATTACTAAAAGTAGTGTAATTTATGTTTTTATTTAAACAAAAAATTAAAATAAAATTATTTATTATAACCAATTCAGTATAAAATCAATTTGCCAAATCTGACATCACCGAGTACGCCTAGAAGGTTCCCTAAAAAAACACCCCATTGACAATGGCAAAGCAATGTCTAGTCGCACATTATTTTGTCATTTTAAAGCCTGATTGAATCTAAATCAGAGTGTTTAGTATGTATTAGCTGGCATTTGGTTTATCTGCTGGTATTTCCCCTGAACTACAGTTTAGGCGCCCCACGGTCACGCACGGTGTCCGCTCAGCTAGGTGAAAGTAATTCCCATATCAGTCGACGCACTCGAGCCATCAGTTGGTCAACATTTTGTTATTCTCGATGTGTCACCTTCAATGGACGCATTGAACCACGTTGACGTTAAAGTTATGTTTTTTATTATTATTTTGTTTTTTGTTTTTGTTTTTTTTTTTTTCCATGGCGATGACGATTACAAACTCATTAAACCATAATATCTGAATGACTATATAAAGCCTCGTTGGGTTGGTGCACAAATTTTATTCGTTTTTCCGCCACACGTTCGTGCGAAGGCAAAAACTTGCGCAAAATGCAGACGAGAAAAGTTGAAAAATCTGCGGGCGTTGCATTGTTAATGGTAAGTAAATACCCTTTAATGTTGGGACTCCACCTGCTACTGATTACTAATTCATGCGCAGCTGCTGATGATGCTGAGCCCCGCCCAGGCAGCCGCCTACAATTGTTCAGCGCCGCCGAGCTTCGACAATTTCGTAAGCACATTATGAATGCCTGAATAATGAATGCGATTTCGCAAATATTTTTTACATTTTATGTTTTGTTGTCTTTCAGGATGTGAACTCGTGCTGCCGGACGCCGGAAATCAATTTGGGCAATGTGCCACAGAAATGTCAGCAGCATGTGAACCAACTGAAGTCTGCCAATCCCAAATATCCAGCCTATGCGCATCTGGTAAGCTAAAAGTTTAGATATATCAATTAGATTCACACTCATATGGGTTCTTTGCTCCTCTGTTCTTTCAGTGCTATCCGGAGTGCATCTATAGAGAGACTGGCGCCCTGATCAATGGCCGCTTGCAAATGGACAAGGTGCGCGAGTATTTGCAGGAGCATGTGCATCGACGTGATCGCGAGGTGGTGCCACACATTGTGCGCTCCTTCGACACATGCCGCAAAAACAGTGCGTATACGTAATATACAAGGGACTTTATATGCCAACAAATATATGTTTCTTTGCTCAGTTCACGGCCATTTGAAGTCCGCTAACCTGGAGAGCTATAAAGTGCTGCCCCAAGGCTGTTCGCCCTATGCAGCGATGCTCTACAGCTGCGTCAATGCGGAAACCTTTCTCAACTGCCCCGCCAAGCTGTGGAAATCGGACGAAAAGTGCCTGGTGGCCAAGGAATTCGCCCAACAGTGCAATCCACTGCCCCACGTGCCGCTGCCCATAAGCTGAGCCACCTGAAAATATTTTGTAATTTGACTATATAAAAATATAAAATTTTCAAAATTATCTAAGCATTTTTGTTACTAAATGCAATATATATTTATTTTTTATTATATATATGTATATAATAATTATTTGTGTAATACTTTTCCTTTATCAATTTTTTTTTTTTTTAATTTTTTACCTTTGTTTATTTTAAATATTTTTGTTTCGTATGTTTTTATCTTTTTTTTTAATTTTTATATAATTTCTTTGTATATATTTTTTTAAGGAATAATGTCTACTTTATTTTTTTTATTATTTATTTTTTTATTTGAATAAATTTTGAGTTGTTTTTGTGTAAAAAATTTTTCGAACTTTTTATTTTTTTTTAATTTTCCACATTTTCTAAATTATAGTTTTTTTTAAATATTTCTTATACTTATATTTATATTTAAATATTTTATATATTATATTTCATTTAACATATACGTATTTAAAAATTTAATATTATTTTATATATATTTGATCTATTTAAAATATCATTAAATACTTGTGTAATAACTGGAATCTTCCTATATCATTAATATTTATATTATAATCTGAATGTTTTGATCGATTTCCATGCCCATTTAATGAGCCATGTCAAGCCGCGTTCGGCTAATGATCTCTCCCAGGGCTCATTCAAGGTCCAGTTACCAAAGAGTTCGGTTCGATCTCCGATCTGTGTAGTTTTTACTGTTATTTGTCATGAATTATTCCATTGTACTGATAATTAGCTGTCTGCTGCTGTGGAGCAATGTTCGAGCTGCGTTCAAGGACTTTGTTGTGGAGCCAGGAGATGAACAGGTTTACAGTAAACACACACTACAAATAACTACAAATATATAAATGTTAATTCATCTACCAACAGTTTGAGTCCAATAATGATTTTAGCCTGGGCTGCGCTGCCGAGGAGTCTGAGCACTTGATATCCTTTCAGGATGTGGAACAGGATGGCGTTATAGATACACAGCTGCTGATCTCAGCGCTCGTGCAGCATGCTCAACGTCTGGGCATGAGCCTGGACCAATTGGGTGGGTATAAAGCTCTATTCGTAAATCATTTCAATTTACATACATATACATTAAATTTATAGCAAATCAAGCACAAACAATTGAATCAGATGATTTACTGGAAGCGGAACTTGGCTGCGGCTCAACCGAGTCGCTCAGCTATCATGAGCAGCCCAGCTGGTATGATGTGTTTTTCAGCTGATTCTCAAGAGCTGCTCGAAACTGATCTCCAATGAAAGATCATTCGTAATGAAACTTTATCCGAAACATTTTTTAGTACAATAAAAGTTTCTAAAAACAAAATTATATTGTAATGCTATAACAAAAGCTGTTTAAGAGAATCATCTTCAGGGTATATTCTAGTCGGACACTCCGAGCTATAGAACTATTTGATAAATTTAAATTGATGCTAAAAACAGTTGAACTTTATTGCAATAAAGACTTCCAAATAAGAACCAAAGATTGGCAGACTGATAAGAATTCATGATTATGTAATACCCACTCATAGATATCAAATAATTACTCCATATTGCCAGATTCTTAATATCTTGGTCTACATAGTCTTCCAGTCAAATCGCACTTGCAGTTCACCTTATGCTCACGCGCCTCCTCGCACGCCTTGCTGCTCTTCCAGCTGCTCGGTGGGCAATTGACGTAAATATAATCCACGGCGCACATTCTCAGATAGAGCGGCAATAGGCTGCATTTGTAATTGCCAAAGAAGCGTCGCTTCTGAAACTTCTCCCACTGCTTTCGATTGGCCGAGCAGTTGAGCAGCGCTGCCACAGAGACGTCCACAAAGTCGGGATTAGCCCTCAATAATATTTCAGTCATGTTGCGTGCATTATCCGGATTCAGCTGATTTACAGTTAGCACTTGGCTGGCATTAAAAATGCAGTCCACTAGGCACTACGCATAGCAGGAGTTAAGATATAAATATGTCTATGGCTTCTTCTACTTACTGGTATCAAACCCAATTGATTTCTGCCCAGAAAGTGAGTACATCTCTCCAGATATGGATCAATATCAACGTCTGGCATTTCACAGCATCTAGCTGTCTATATACATATATATTTATATTCGAATTTCGGTATATATTCAGCATATATCCTTTTTAAAGCTACTCACACTCGCATCCAAACGTTTGCTGCAGTTGCTCCCTGAGCTCCAGCCCAAGCATGGGTTAGCCAACAGACAAACTGTTAAAGCCACCCAAATGGCCAGCATTGCGATTGCTTTAAGCCATAACGGTCGGAAATTGTTGCTTTATATATACAATTAAATGGAATCAAAAAATTAATGAAGCGCTCACAATTAACATGCTTAATTAAATATGTTTATATTTTTAAAATTCACATTTTCCATCTATAAATAGCATTGGGGATTGCCTTTTAAAATCTTTTTGCCAACTTCGGTTTAAATTTAACATGTACTTTAACAGTGAAGCTAAATAGTTTATTTATTTATATATTATTTAATCATTACATAAATATCTCTCCATATTTATAACCCTTCACAACAATTTTCATTTCATACAACTTATTTAAACTTCGTTGCAATATTAAGTAATCATCAATGTTTTATTAAAAACGTTAAAAAGAAATAACTGTTATAATAATGTTGTTCATTCTATTTTGTTAACAGATCTAAAATATTAATCATTGTGTATCTTAGTGCACAACATGCAACAGCACTTGTCAAGTTGCACATGCAACAGCAGCACACGCAAGTGCAATATGTACATAATAGAGCTGTTTATCCAAATGAATTAGGTCTAGTCAGTTACTATTCAGAGCTTTAAGCATGTGGTCGCATTGGATATTCTTGTCATTAATTCTACTTCCAGCTGCCGTTAGCGCAGCCAAGTGCAAAGCCGCGCCTAAATCTGTGCAGGTATCTTATTTGAATTAACGCATGTTATCGATTAATCGCATGCCATCGATATTTGCAGAACGTTCAAATGTGCTGTCCCTTACCGTTGCCCAATTGGGGCGCCTATAACAGCGAATGTGGGCAATCAGGAATTCAACCTAGCGTAAGTTTAACAAACTATGTACCCGATCAATATATATTATCGTTGTGATCCACATAGTGCCGCCTGGCTTGCATATTCAATGCCACTAGGGCGCTGCAAGGTCGACAGCTCAACTTGACCCACGTACGTCCGATGTTGGAGCGCGCCTTCACTAATCCCGACATCATCGATGCGTATGCCAGCAATTTTGCCAGTTGCGCCTCTTTGGTACACAGCAAATACCAGGAGCTGACACAGATCAGTAAACAGAGTGATGCCTGCGATCGACACGCCCTCTTCTACAGCCTTTGCGCCTACTCGCGACTGATGCGGCGCTGTCCAGCCAACGTCTGGCAGCGCGCCAATAAACAGTGCCAAGAGGCGAGAGCTTATATGAAAACCTGCGCCTGGCCAGCGCTCAAGATGTTCATGAAAAGCACATAGAATAAAGCCAGATACACGTTTGCTACAGCAGAGCAGTTTTATTGCCTATATAGTCAATCAGGGGACGCGTTATCAAGTCCAGTACGCTGCGTTTACACTTGGTCGAGAAGTCCGCGCAGTTGTCGGTCTTTCCTTTACGCTCCGCTTCGTAGTAACGCTCGGGCAAAGCCTCGTACTGCGAGCTGCTGGGACTGAACATCACCCGCATCAAGCTGCCCAGCACGCCATTTATCTCATGTATTGGGCCGCTGTTCACCTCACAAATGAGCCGTAGCAGGCAATCATCGCCAGTGCCAAAGCCATGTCTAATGGGAATAGAAAAGCTGTATTTTAATAGTTGACTTAAGCAAGTCATCATACGAGGAATATAAATCGTTATAAATGACTATCCAAATGAAAATACAAACATACACACACATATATATGTGTATGTATGTATATGTGGTGTGAAGTAGGAAATATCAAAGGCATCTTATTCTAATTACAATTCACTTCAGCAAGCAGCAAGTTTTACGCACACAGTTACATAAATGTGCGTGCTTGCGCGCTTTTCTCCAAAAAGCTCTTCACATCTCACTTTTATACTCTTCTCCAATATTATTCTCTGTGAGCGCAACAAACCGTTGGCACAATTTGCTATGCTCACTTACTCTCAGAGCGCAAAAAAACGGAAATTCACACATATGCATTTATGAGCGCAACGAGAGCACACAAAACAAAAATGAGAGTGATAGGCCATCTCGCTCGATCGCGTAAGGGCATAAAGGCAGTCAGTTTCCTTTACACTTTGGGAGTTAGAGTGGGAGGTCCGAAGCTGACTCTTCACACATAAGAGTTTGTATGTTCGCTGCAACTGTAATTGTAGCTGCAAGCTTTATACATACATACGTACTGTTGGAATCGTTGGCTGAGTATATGATAGAACTTTGTGCGGGAGAGCAACGATTGCTGCTCCAAGTCGCGCGCCCAAGCATCCTCGAAGAAATCTTTGTAGTCATCTTCGGGCGGTGGCTTCGGCTTATGCTTCGGCTTAGTTTTGTGTTTGTGTTTGCGTTTGGGTGGTTTATGTGGCTTTGGTCTCTTGCGCTTTGGTGGCCCTAAGATGGGCGGCCTGTGGTGTGGCTTATGATCCTCATAGTCATTATAGTCATCATAGAAATCGTCAAAGTCGTCCATAGGATGTATGTGTGAGTCCGAATGTGTGTCGTTGCCACGGCGCTAAAAAATATAACAAACTCATTATATAGATATACCAATAAAACTGCTGTGTTGGTTCAATAATCTTAAAATTAACATAATAATAAAATAAAAATTTTAGTGAACTTACAAAAAATGGCCGTCTTCTGTGCCAATGCCGTGGCAATCTGTAGCTGGCCTCAAAATTATAGGAGACAAAGACATGTCGCGTGGGCAGATCAATTGGTATAGCTATCGATATAAAGAGCTGTCAACACTAGATTAGACTAACAGATTTATAGGTAAGATATAGATTTACATAGCTAACAGATTTGGAGTTATTTCAGATGTAGACGTACCGCCATCTCGCCACCTGTATTCCATACAACCGCGGACCTTACGCTGTGCGCGAAGCAGATGGCCAACAGCAGATTTATCAAGCACATAATGGCCATAGAACTTGATAGCTCCGACGCTTCTGAAAAACAACTGAAAATGAAAATGTTTTGACAAGTGCCAACAGCAGAAAACTGTGTCGACTGACGTGCCAATTAGCAGCAACAGCAACTGGAATCGTTCTCTGGAAGTGAAAGTTGTTAATTGAAATGGAGCTGGATATGAAATCAGGTCATACAAGAAAGTTGTTTCCGATTAAATATATATTATATATTACAAGAAATAAATATAAACTAATTTAACTAAAATTAATGAAATAAGGTTTATTTGCAACTACATTTCTATGCGCTTGAGCATCTCTTCAAAAGGTTCCGATATCAGCGCCAACAAGCTGTGCCCACAGCTTTGCTCATAGTGATGACAATGACCATGCCAGCCATCCCGTTCCGCCTGATAGAACTGCAGCGGCAGCTGCTCCGGCTCCGAGGTGCTGGGACTACAATGTATTTGGTAATCCATGTAAAAAATTCCAGAGATTATAGACTAACCTACCTGAAGAGCACATGCATGAGACTGCCCAGCACGCCATTCAGTTCGCCCAGCTCAGCGGCATTGGTCTCGCAGATCAAGCGCAGCAAACAGGACTCGCCAGAGAAACCGCTTCTAAAAGCAAACATAATCAACACCACCATCATCATCATCATCATTATATATTCTATACAACTCTTATATACCTTTTAAATTTATCCATTAGTATATGATAAATATTGCTGCGTGTTAGCAACGCGCGTCTCTCGCGCTTGGGCATTGAAGTTGCTTCTTCCCCCTCTGATCCGCTGCCCTCCACATCAGCCTGCTCTAGCCTGCTTGTTGCCTTGCGAGACAGCTCCAGTTCTTCGGATTCGATGGGACCATTTTGCTGAGCAAACAATAAACAATTCGATAAGAAAGTATTGTTGTTGCCCGTGACGGTGCTAATTGACCTTTTAAACGCATGCTAACTGACATCGTGCAGCGCTAGACTTACAAATAACGTTGGCAGACTCCAGTTGTAGGGCGAGTTATAGTTGGCCTCAAAGTTATACGAAACAAACACGTTGCGATGCGGCAGCTCCAGCGGCACAGCCAATGCGGCGAAGACCTATCGAAGAAGCACAGTCTTAGCCGCTAAATTAGAGCCCAATTTATAGACAACCTACGCCATGCGTGCTGGAGGGCGTAAAAGCCAAGTAGCCACTGCAACATTGTGCATAAAATACCACACACAGGGCCAAAAGCCAGCACAGATTACGAACTAAACCCATTTCAATTGATCACTCTGAGCTTCAGTTAAGAACTGAATTCAGCTCTGCTGGCAGCAGCAGAAAATGCGTTTGCTCTATAGGAAGATCTCGTTAACTCGCAGAGCAAACAGTGAGTGCGAGAAGCCATTATGTTTATTTTAGCATATGTACACTGTTTTATTTTCTTCTTCTTCTATGTACAAGATCTTGTATTACTCGCTCCACGGGCACCGATATTAGATCCAATACATTGTGTGGACAGTTGTCATCGTAGTTCGCACATCGCTGCTGCAGTCCATCGGACTCGGCTTGATAGTAGGCATTGGGTAGTTGCTCATCCCTGGAGCTGCTGGGGCTGCAAGCAAAACAAGAAAAGTTGACCCATGCCTTATGAAACTCGCTTGCCACCTTACCTAAATATAACATGCACAATGTTGCCCAATAGTCCATTGATCTCGCCCAGCGTTGAGGCATTCGTCTCGCATATCAAACGCAGCAAACAGGCCTCTGCGGGATAACCAGATCTGCAGTGGAATTCAGACTATTATTATAATAAGTGGAGTATTTTTGAAAAAAGACTCTCACCTATCTAACTTATCCCTGATCATAGCGTAGAAGGTTTTACGCGATAAAATCGGCAAACTGCGTTTTACTCGATGTTTTGCTGGTGTCTCTGATGTTTTCTGCTGCTCCGCTTGAATTTTCATGCTCTCTGTTTGCGTACTATTAGCACTCACTGTACAATTCACACACGATCTACCTTCTCGAGCATCGTGTGTGGGATATGTCAAATAATCATCCTCAAAATCTTGTCCCATCTTTAGACAGAGAATTGAAATATAATATAATAAAAGACTTATGAAACAAACTTATCAAAGTAGTATACATGTAGATATCGAAAAGACTTAGGAAACAAACTTGCTTAATCATACCAAAATTGATGGAAACTTATAAACATGCTCAGGTTTATAGTAATTAAACTCGTAATTATAGGATAGAAAAACATTGCGATGCGGCAAACTAACTGGCACAGATATAGCCATAAAGACCTGCAAAATAGAAGGTCGTTAGCCATACAAATACGCAAGGCTCTAACACCAGTTAACAAGTTACACCAGAATACGAATTTGTGGGATAGAGCAGCGCCGCGTGATTGAAGTATATGCAACAGTTGCACAAGAGGCACAGTGCAAGAACCGAACTGAACAACCTCTGCATCTTAATGTATTACTAAACTAAAATTCTTGAACATTCGGCGGTTTAAACTGGATTGTTCTTGAAGGCACGGCTCGCACTGAACTGCCGTCCATTGTATCCACAGTCAAGCAAGAAACTTGTCTATTCTATTCAAAAGTTGTTAATTAGAATAAAAGTTAGGGTTTCTTTAACTGATGCGTAACATTGGAAGTGGGTCAGGTTGAAGTGAAATAAAGTTAAACAATAGTTGAATTAGCAATCGGATGTATAAATTTGGGATCCCCAGATCATAAGTAATGCATGTACATATGTATTTGAATGCGTTGCGCGCAATCATTTATTTTCTTCTTCTTCTGTGTACAAGATCTTGTATTACTCGCTCCACGGGCACCGAGATCAAATCCAATACATTGTGTGGACAGTTGTCATCGTAATTCGCACATTGCTGCTGCAGTCCATCGGACTCGGCTTGATAGTAGGCATTGGGTAGTTGCTCATCCCTGGAGCTGCTGGGGCTGCAAGCAAAACAAGAAAAGTTGACCCATGCCTTATGAAACTCGCTTGCCATCTTACCTAAATATAACATGCACAATGTTGCCCAATAGTCCATTGATCTCGCCCAGCGTTGAGGCATTCGTTTCGCATATCAAACGCAGCAAACAGGCCTCTGCGGGATAACCAGATCTGCAGTGGAATTCAGATGATTATTATATATTATTTATTTATAGAATCCCTACTCTTACCTATCTAACTTATCACTGATCATGGCATAGAAGGTTTTACGCGATATCATCGGCAAATTACGTCTTTCTCGGTGCTTTGCTAGTGTCTCTGATGATTTCTGCTGCTCCGATGGAGTTTCTATGCTCTGCGTTTGCGTACTATTATCACTCAGTGTACAATTCGCACACGATCTACCTTCCCGAGCATTATGTGTGGGATATGTCAGATAACCATCCTCAAAATCTTGCCCCATCTGTAGTGAAATATCACATATTAAAATATATTAAAAGACTTAGGAAACAAACTCAACAGAATAGTCCAGTGGACCCTTGGCCAACGAAAAACTACGTGTAACGAGCACATTTTTTTGGGAAAATCAGTTTTGCTTAACGAATACACATTATAGTGCTTTCCATCGACCGTCTTAGCATTTTGTTATTCACTATTTCGCATCCCATTAAGGCGCTTAACGAACAAGATGCTGGAACGAATTGTGTTTGTTAACCGAGGGTCCACTGTATCTGAATATCGCACACTTACCAAAATTGGTGGAAATTTGTAAACATGCTCGGGTTGATAATAATTAAACTCATAATTGTAGGATAGAAAAACATTACGATGCGGCAAACTAATTGGCACAGATATAGCCATAAAGATCTGCAAATGAGGATATTAGTCCCAAAATGTGCAAGGCTCTGGCAACATTTAGAAAATTACACCGTATTCAGAATTTGTGGGATAAAGCAGCGCCGCATGATTAGAGTCTATGCAGCAGCTCCACAAGAGGCACAGTCCAAGGACTGACCTGAGCAAGGTCTGCATCTTAATGTACTAATCAACTAAATTTGTAGAACTATCGTAGGTTTGTAATCGGAATGTTCTTCTCGGCACGACTCACATTGAACTGATGTCCATTGTATCCATCGTCAAGCAAGAAGCTTACCGTTGAGATCTATCCAGCAGTTGTTAATTAGAATAAAACTTGGGTTTCTTGACAGCGCTGGATCAGGTTGAAGCTGGTTAAATGCAGTTAAAACTGTGCACGTTAATTGAAGAGAGGCGCGTCTGAAATATATCTAACATAACAAATCTCATAACTAAATATATCCAGTTAAACAACTGTTGAGTTGACAGTCTGATGTATACATTTATAAGCACCTCATAATGGACACGTTACAGTGGTTATATGACTTAATATATTTATACGTAATTCAAATATGTATATATGCATGTATTTGAATGCGGCGCGGGCTCAAAACTAACGCCCTTAATATGTAATGCTCTGCTATTGTTGATTCTTATATGACTGGCTGCTTCTGCTGCTGCTGCTGCTGCTGTGGATGATGCTGCATTTGTTATCTGTTGTTGCGCAGCTTGCGCTCCTTCCATGTTGCATACTTGGAGTTGGCGGTGCGCAGCAGCAGGTTCATGTGTTGTGTGAGTGATGAACGCAGAGGCGAGAGCTCGTGCATGGCACGATTCTAAAAGAAACATAAATTGTTATTTCAATAATTGTGATTTGAATCGAATATTATAGCATTCACTCACCTCGAAAGGCACTAGTTTGGCCATTTTGAAACGTTGTAGAGTTTCATGCATGCGCTGCAGCTTAGTTTCCAATTCTTCAGTTGTGGGCGGAAAGCAACTCCAAAAGTGTTTCAACAGCTCCAAAAGCGACAAATACAAATGCCGCAAGTCCCGCTGAAAGTCGCGTGGCACCAGCTCTAATGGATTTGAAACATGTTTTTAATACTAATTATAAATTACGATAAGAGATCTCGACTTACGTCCTGCTGACTGCTCTTGAAAACCACGCATAAGCTGGCCACCGGGGCTAAGTTCACCTAAAGCATTGACAGCCGCCTTGGGGCAAATGACATGGCGCTGTGCGTTGCGATTTAGCCAGGACTCGGAATCGCGCACCAGCTTATACTGCACTTCGTCCAAACTGAGTGCATCCTGTTGATTCTCGTATATATTATGGTGCAGCGGACCGTTGAGGTAGCGTTCCACTTTGGACAGTTCGAATTGTTTGCTTTTATTGGTCGATTGGAGCGGATCTTCGGCTTCGATTACTGGATCGCCCAAGTCTTCGTAGTGTATCTTTTCAATGAGTCGTTGCTTCTTGGATGGCGGTGCATCATTACTACTCGTGCTGGTTGCATTCTCAGTGACCGCATGCTTAGCTGCCTTGCCATTGAGGCCATTCGTGTAGGCGGATTGTCCTAGCGGGCCATTGGCCGCATTTGTACCGTTGGTGACAGTGGATGGAGCGCCATTAACATTTGCGCACGTTTTCAATACCATTATGGAATGCTGATTGAAACGCTTGATCATGTTTTGGTGGACAATGTTGCCACTGTTGACCACATTGCGATCTCCAGCCACGCTTCCGAACCCTTCCTCCAGCGGCACATCCTCAAACTTTTTCAAATCTAACAGCGGATCACCTGCGCCCTGCTGCACGGCTGCCTTCAGCGCTTGATCATCAATTTTACCGCACTCCGTAAATATGTCCTTGGTCCCAGCGGTCAGACGATCCCGATGAAAGTAGTGCGACTGAAAGAATTTTGTCCAGAATTCCGATTCGGGCATTTTGGAAGGAACGTTCTCCATGTGCTTGCGCTTAACGGCGGGATATGTTTTAAAAATGCAGTGTATGACATCAGAGGTAAGATTGTATTTAAGACCATTGCAACCGTCCGTCTGTGGCTTGATGTCGGCCAAGAAAGCGCCCGACACACCTGTGAACCAGAAGGGGAATATTAATATATATATAAACATATAAAATAAATGTACTTACCGATTTCCTGGCTCTTGGCCATCTTCTTAAGGGCATGGTCCTTAGCGTGCGTTGCCCAGAACTCATCGCTGGTAAGTACTTTGGTAATGACCAAATCCTTGTAAAGCTGCAGCAAATTTGGATTCTCCACCAGAATGCGATTCTTGTCCTCTAGATCTTTGTCAACCTTACGTTTGAAATTGGGCAACAGCTGCTGCAGGAGCTCTTTAACTTTGTCCCGATCAGCCAGCATGGCGGCCTGGCCCTGACGGTTAACAAAATGGAACGTCGACGTGTTGCCATCGTGCAGCACCACCTGTAGCTGCACCTTCGGCTTGCCTTCGGGCGAGATCTTCTGTGCTGTATTGAAGAAAGGCAAATAAAGTCAATGTCGTGTCCAGTAAACGACGTTAACGCGCACTTACTTTTGATATCCGCATAGCGATGGGAAACGGTAACGGTGTCCCGGTGCTCCGCCATCCATGCCAAGCGCTCGTTCATAACATAGAGTGTGCCATCTCCCTTCTTGTAACGAACCTCGCCCATCTGTAGCAGCACATCTTCGCTGCTAGTGGTCATTGTTGTCGTCTCGTCTGTCTACGTTTGCAGCCGGCGGCAACGCTTCAACAAAATCCCCAATGACAGCTCACATCAATTTCACAAATGCCAGCCCACACACCTGCAATATGCAGAAAAAGAACAAAAAACACGCATTTTCATCGTATCGCATCACAAATTTCATTTGCACAGATCCCAGTGCCAGTCAGTCACACGTGGAATCATAGTGCGCAACGTGGAATAGCCAAATAGCACAATACTTCGCTATTTTCACGAGATTACTAAAAAACGCACCTCGCAGCAAAGTGAAATTGCCCAACAGCGTTCGTGGTTCGTGATTGAGCGAAAAATACAAAGTTCACTGAACTAGTTTTTTTGGTTAAAAAGTGTAACACGATGGCAACACTTATTTGCAGTTACTTTATGTGCCGGCGCCAAAAATGCTTCTCAAAATAAAACAAAAACAATACATTAACAAAGGTCATGTAATTTTTCAACTGTCAACTTAATTACGATTTAACAAAATTGTGAATGTGTAACAATGATTTCACTTCAAATAGATATGGTATGTACTTAAATCAAATAAACTCTTTTATATTCATACATATTTAGGTATGACTGTATATATGTCTAACTGTAAATGAACGTATATATGTTTGCATATATGTATGTATGTGCACGTACACTTGCACATTTGCCGTTGCTCCGTCTCAACAATCGCCCTCTGTTAGATCAATTTGTACAAGATTTTCTCTCTTCGTTGCGGAGTTTGCATTAGAAGTTCTTGTACGTTTTTTCTCATCAATGTCCGATTGCCAGGTGAGACGCTCTTCGTAAAACTTAATGACCACTTGCGGACATTTTATGTTGGCCACCTTAGCAGGTACCAGATCAATGTAATTTGAATTTTTCCAAGACATCAAAAACATAAGCTTTCCCGAAGTATCCGTAGCTCCCAATATTTTCGAAGCGATCAATCCACGTTGAAAACCAATACTGCCATCTAATTTTTTCTCCGCCATAGTAATTCCGTTGCTTTCTACAGAACTTTGTGTCGATAGCTTTCTCTTCCTATTCTTGGTCTTCTTTTTTTCCGATTCTTCGAATTCAGCTATAAAATCGGGACATGAGAGATTTTCAAGCGGCTCCCAAGTATTTTCACTGCGTGGATATCCCAGCCATTTTAGATAGTATTGAACTTCTCCATTTACAATGCGTTTTCCCTCAATGCGTTCAACAACGTAATCCGACATGATTGCCTTTCTTTTATATATATATATATGTATTAAAATTTGGATAATGGTATATTCTTCACTAAGATCGGTGGCTTCCCGGTAAATTCTGCTTGAAAGCAATACACGAGCTGGTTCACAACGCCAATAAAGCTTTTGATCTGGTGTGGCAATACTGCTTCTTCAGTATGGCAACGCAACAAAAAGTCGCAGAACTTTTGAATTCTAAGAAATAGACTTCAGAAACATATAATTTTTAATTGAATTATTGTATTATATATAGTATATTTTTATATTGCACTTACCCTTTTCAACGCTGAGCTTGTATGTATATGAGTCAAACTGCGTTGGATTTCATTAATAAACAAACTATTTATTGCTGATGAAGCGTTTTTGTCTCCTTGTGCATATGTGAGCGAGATCTACACAAACTTTGCTTACGGGCTTGTATATGTGTATAGTTAAAGAGCGCGTCTGCTAAAGATCAATATACATATGTATACATGTGCACATACATACATACATAAATGTCACGAGCCAAATAGCTTCCACTCTTTCATGATCGTAAGAGAACGTAAGCATGCTCGACTAATTAGGATCCAAGCCTGCTTTTACGCTCTTCCTTTGCTTTTCAATATATATTTACGTATGGGCGTAAGTACAATATTGTTTTGTCTGATAATTTTGAACTCTTGTTGAGGGTTTAACAATATATATATATATATATATATATATATATGTTTGTAATGTGGATATTAATAATGTATTTATTGTTTTAGATTTCGAGTTAATTATATGTAGTTTGCCAATATTTAAATCAGGCGCAAATGAAATCGTTTATAGTAAATGTCGATTTTAATATGCTTACCATATTCGTGTATAGATGTGCAATCGATATTTTGTCCATGTCTAAAAAACAATTACTCATTTGGCACTGCTAGACATTACTTTTAAAACATGTAAATCTTGATAACTCATTGGGATCTGTTTCACTTACGAAAATAAACTGAACAATTACTATAGTAAAGTTGTGCCACATATATTTTCATTTTCCATTGGGATACAGCTGTGCAAGTATGGAGCAATATTTCCATTTTTTAACAAACAGCTAACAGTTCCACCGTTATATTAACTGTTCAATATTGAATTTCAACCGTTCGAGCAAAAATTTACTGTGGCTGCCAACAACATGTTAGCGAGCTGTTAGTTAACAGACAGACAAGAAAGAGAGCGTATCGTAGAAACAAACAAATATATTATTAAATGCAATAAATAACTGGCAATCAACGTATAAATATAAAAAAAACTGTCAAGGTACGCAATATCATGCAGTGTAAACGTGGCAATTATAAATATGTGTAAAACAAATCCAAGACAAATTTAGACTACCAAGCTAAATTAGCAAATAATAAATTAGTGTGAAATCTGCTAGTTAAACTAAGGCGTAACACATCGTTAAAGAAAATGTGTTACTACATTTTAAAATGCCAAATGCTGCCGCTGTGAAAAATTCAATTTGTACTGTGCGATGATTCATAGTTAAATGAAAAAAGTTATACAAAAAGAAATGGAAAGGTGGCAGTGACGCGGCTGCACACCAACCACCTCTATACCTTTACCTTTACCTCATTACCTCGGAGCCCCCGTTACCCAACACTCACAATAATAAACAGTCAAAGACAAACTCCAAAGAAAAAAAAGAAAATATCTGCAATTATTTATTGTACAATTTGAATTTGTACATTAATAATGCACGTCAATATGCGTGTATGACAGTGTTTAGTGTCCTTCGTATTTAGTTTAACAAACAACAAAAGAAAGCGAATATTGCAACCGTGTTAAGCACATGTATGAGTGTAATTACATACATACATATACACGCATTTTACAAATAGATGCATGTCATCATGCTCTATGTAGCAATAGTGGCAATACTTATCTCATATTATCTTTTGTTTTCCATTTGAGATAAGTGCAAATAAATGAATTTGCTTTCTAAAAGTTGTACGACAAATGTCTAAGTAAATACTTACATATACAAACGCAAATATGGTTTATTGCTTCTTATTCTACCGCCCACAAACACACTACGATCAGCTTGATAACGCTCTCTGTGATTGTGTTTGTGTGTGAAATTTGCAGGCGTTACACTCTACGCATGGACTTTGTTGCGTTTGAACGCGACCCAATAAGATAAATCCCAATTAGAATCGTTTCATGTATTTTCAGCAATTGCGATGTCCCGCATAAAAATCAAATTAACTTTGATGATGTTTTGTATGGTTTCAAATTGTCTTTGCTTTCGTAATTTTATTGCTGCTAACCGTAACAAAACTAAATTTATTTTATATTTTTATTAAATAATGTTAACAATAGGTTTTATTTCCTCCTTATTGCTATAGAGATTGATGGAGGCTTAAAAATAAATAAATTACAGATATCAAGATGTAAATACATTATTTATTTAATAATGGAAAATATTTATTTTTGTAATATAATATACAATTTTTAAAGAGAAAAACTTAAAAATAAAATAAGAAACACATGCTCAAATTTCAAGCTCAAATTTGCTAGTATTTAATTTATATTTAAATATTTATACTTAAAGAAATCCCACAACTTATTCAGTGACAACTTCATAATACCCATTAAATTAAAGTAATCAGAAGTTGAGGGTGGTTGTCGCTGCTGTGTTTTTATACGCTGCCGGTTTCTTATCTCCGATTTATTTCTTCTATTTTTTTCAATATCACACGTTTCGGCTTTGGCCGAGGTGTCAGCAAACAGAAGAGTCCATGTTTGTTCTCTAATGCGTGAATGTTTCTTTACGTTTTGCCTTACCATTGCAGTGATTCACCCGCTCTTGGCCATTTAACTTGTTGAATTGTGATCAGAGGGTTAGCTTACGAAAATGGATATTACGGTGCACGATAATGGCTACCAGAACAGCACCTATTGCCAGGCGAGTAATCGCACCACACTCTTCATCAGCGCCTACAATGGTATACCGGAGACTTTGATATTGAACACGATCTTCTGGGTGCTGCTCATTCTGTTGTTTACGATGCTGCGACATCAGGCGAGCGACTATCGTCTGGCTCTGGTCAATGCCAATGGGACTAAGAAGCGTTGGACGGAAATATTCTATTCCCGAGCCGCCAGCGTTGTGGAACCACAGCCGAGCACGTCAAATCCCTCGAATCCCTCGAATCCAATGCCCCGGCCAAGCACAACATCTCAGCAGAGCGACTCGACACCGCTGTCGCCCATCCAAACCGAACCGGGTCTCTTCAATTGGATTCGGGTGACCTTGAAGCTGCGCAAGGAAACAATTCTGCTGCACTCCGGTCCGGATGCCGTTCATTATTTGTCCTTTCAGCAGCATATGATGGCTGTCATGGCGGTGGTCACCGTCATTTCGCTAGCTATCATCTTGCCAATCAACTTTCTGAATGGCCCGCGCGATGAGCTGTACGATGTGAATGCCTTTGGACGCACCACAATGGCCAATCTGCAGCCGGAATCACCCTGGCTGTGGGTACACACCATCATAACCATCCTGTATATACCGCTGGTGGTGCTCATCATGCGGCGCTCCTCGGGTCGCAACGCCTTCAAGAAGGCTGCCACGCGCACCATCATGATATCAAATATATCAAACAGGTTGAACGAGCTGCTGTAATTTCCAATTAAATATATATTTAATAAATTCCCTTTGCTTTTAGTGATCGGAACAAGACCGTCATACGCAACTATATGCAGGAGCTGTTTCCGGATGTCACCATCGAGAGCGTCAGCATTGCGTACAACATTTCACGTCTCTTCGTGCGCAATGCGGAGTTTGAGAGAGTGCACGAAGCGCGTGTCTACTGTGAACATCATCGGGACCGGGACACGCTGATGGCCAAGCCGGAGATGTGCTCGTGCAAGAAGGAGAATGCCTACGAGTATTATCAACGCGAAGAGCGTAAGCTCTCGGGCGATGTGGCACGTTTGCGTGCCTCAACGCTGAATGAGCCCTTGGATATTGCCTTCTTGACCGTGTCCACGGTGCAGGAGGCACAGAATATTGTAAATCATTTCACACCAGGCACATATAGGCAATGGCACATCGTGTTCGCACCCTCGCCGGATGATATCTTCTGGGAGAACCTGAATGTCAACAAGAGCCATTGGTATTTGAAATTTGTGTGCGTGAACGTTGTGCTCTTCATAGTCCTGTTCTTCCTGACAACACCGGCCATGGTGGTCAATTTGCTGAACAGCCGTCCGTGGGTGTTGGATACGGAGAACAAAATCTCGCCACTTGTCTCTGAGTTCTTGCCCACATTGATGCTGTGGACGCTGTCGGCACTGATGCCAGTGATTGTCTCTATATCAGATAAATGGATGGGCCATTACACGCGATCCAAACAGAACTACTCGATAATGTGCAAATGCTTTGGCTACCTGCTGCTGATGATTCTCATCCTGCCCTCATTGGGCTTGACGTCGGCGCAGGCACTTCTGGAGTGGGGCCTGACGAACGACACGGGGCGTTGGCAGTGCATCTTCTTGCCGGATCGTGGCTCATTCTATGTCAACTATATTATAACTGCTGCCTTTATTGGTACCTCGTTGGAGCTGTTGCGGTTCCCGGAGCTCATTGTCTACATTTGGGCGTTATTGAAGGCCACTTCCAAGGCGGAGACGCCCTATATACGTAAATCCATATTGATTGAGTTCCCATTTGGCACACACTACGCCTGGACCACACTCGTCTTCACCATATCGATAGTGTACAGCGTATTTTGCCCATTGATCATGCCATTCGCCATGATCTATATATGTCTCAAGCATATGGTGGATCGCTACAATCTGTACTTCGCCTACGGACCATCCAATATGATATCACGGAAGGGAGGCAAAATTCATTCCACAGCGGTGACCATGACCAAGTTTTCGGTACTCATTTTGGTGCTGGTTATGGCCATGATATGCTATTTCCGTGGCGATGACGGCATGGCTAGATTCCTGATACTGATCATCACGCTAGCTATAACCGTAACACTGTTTATCTTCATGTCGCCGATCAAACGTTGTGCGGCCACGCGACGTCCAAGTATTGTGGAAATCGCCGGCCCCGCACCCGCCTACATACCGGACGTGCTCCGAGCTACAACCACACAGACCAGCGCCAGGCCGTCGACAGTCGGTTTTCCTGGATACGGCTCGGACAATATATCTGAATACGATAGCTCCCAGTATAGTGTCAATAGCGTGGAGGCGTAAGCGAAGCTAGTTTCTGTTGCTCCTTTCCTTGGCTAGAAAGAGACTCGCTCGAAAAGTAATTAAAATGTTGACATATTTTTGTATAAGGATTTTATAAGCCGTTGATAACTTTTTCAGAAATTTATATGGACTTTGCTTGCAAAAATCGATAATGATCAGAAAATGTGATAGAAATTAGCCTCATGATTTGCGTCTGAGTTCGGTTGCGAAACGCGTTTTCAAAAAACACGTGCCCCGCTGAGCCCCCTTCTATTAAAATTATTATTTTTTATTTTATTTTTTTGTACATAAGCATATACCTATAACTAATATATATATACATATTCTAATTTACCCTTTTATGATTATTTGTATTCTTAAATTTTAAATTGTAAATATTGCGTCATTTTGATCAAAAAGTATAAACTGGAAGTCCCCTCCATAATATTTGTCAGTACTTTAGCGATATAGCAATAAAAGACCACAAAACAGTGCATTATATTTATATATACACACATACATATATATACGACTAATTTTATAAACGGAAGATGGAAGGAAGTTGTTTATAGACAGATCCAAAATTACGTGTATTTTAGTTTATTATTTATTTAAGTCTTCGTTTTAATAATAGACCGAAATTTGTAACTTTTATTGTTATTCCAAGGAGAATTATTATTAATAATAATTAATTTTAAATTATATATAGTAATATATCAATAAAATATTTTCAATTTTATCAGCTTTTTGTTTAATCTTTAAATCAATTACAAGTGTCTAAAAAAAAGTATTAACTAGATAAGATATACATTTGTGTGCCCCTGACTGTTTCATGAATTGCTTTGCAAGTGTTTGATATAAAATTTTGATAATTTTTTGCACTTTTCATTGTTATGAGGCGCGAAATTCGGAACCGTATGGCTTTATCGAGATGTATATGAAATAATATTCGTAATAAACTAAGTTGATAAAATGTCAAATTATCTTCTCTATATATCCGGGGTAAAAAAAGTAAGCCATGGGATCTTGTTATATTGATTCTTGTCAAAGGTTTATAACGTAAAGCCAGAGCTGCCATTGACCGATATATTCAAGTTGCAAAAGTATTAAGTAGATGCATGTATGACGTCATCAATCGTTGCCAATATCGTAAGCACACCGTAGAAACTTCTAGGTGAACACCTGCCGAAATTTCTAGTCGCCCGGTAGATGCGCCAACTCTCAACCGATGGAAACTCAAAGAAGCAGCAATAAAAACTCCATTAAATACATATATGTATACAAGTATTTCTTTTTGTTTATTTATCGAAAAAATCATAAATAAAAACGATCTAGTTTATGCGCATCTGTTTTACATACAGATGCAGAATTACGTGTACAATTTTTCATTATTTATTTAAGTATTCTATTAATATTAGCCTGCAAATGTTTTTTCTATTGTTATGCGAAGGGAAATTACTCTCAGCATCGAATCTAATCAAATTTCTGAAATCCAACAAAGATATACAATTTATTTTCTTTTCCCTTCTCTTAGCAAAAATTACACAATGTTTAGAATTTATCGTTCTTTTCTCATAAATTTCAGTAAAAGGATGCTCTTGACGATATCTTGATATATGGATATATATGTATATATTTATATATCACTCTCGTTGAGGAGAGACAAATGTTTGCTGTTAGTTTTCGTAAATAAAACGCCTAATTTATTAGATGATACAGTATTAACTTACAAAGGGAAACGGTTTGCAGCAACTACACTAGCCACCACAAACGAAACTTTCGTGTGGGCTCAGCATGTGTGAACAGCTAAGAACTACAATAGGTAATTGATATTTGTTCCAGGCGCTCGCTGCACGCAGATACCAAATGAATTTTTTTTCGCTGATCTCGTATTCGAAACAAAACAAAAATAGAGAGAAAACCTACAATCTTTCTATGTGTGTAGAGGTGTGTGTGTTCAAGTGTGTGTGTGTGCGTGCATATGTATGTTTGTGTTGCTGTGTTAGTTGGCCAAAAATAAAAGTTATCCTTCGCACATTTATGCCACATAATTATATTGATTTTGATTATCCTTGTCTCGCTCCATATAATCACGATCAATCAGCGACTCAATGCGCTTTTTCAGATCAGCAGGCTAGGGAGATAAGAAGCAAAAACAAATATAAAAGCCATTCAATCAGCCTAATTAGTAGTAGTCTACGCACCTTAACGGGAAAGGTTAGCTGGTTGAACAACTCGGTGATGAGCAAATTGTGGCTCAGTGTCTTACGCATTTTCATAATGCGCACAATAGCCGCATCGATCTGATACTGGCGATCCTGGAAAACGCGCTCCTCCGTCGCCTTTTGCTCCTCGTTCTGCAATAAGTTTAGTTTTAGCTGTAGTGAGTAATATTTTTTTTACAACTTTTGCTTACCGTTTCCTTCATTTGAATTTGATTAATCTTGATGCGGAACAATTTGTTAACGAACTCATTATTAAAATCAAATTGATCCCGATCCTCAATGTCGCGGCCTTTCGGCGTTTTGGTAATGACACGCGCACGTCCGCATGCTAGTGACTGCAGTGTGCGTCGCAGTTCACCATCCTCAATGTTGGTGGCAGCCAAGATCTCCTCGTAGCTGAGCGTAGGCTTGTCGTTAAACAGCAGCAGAACGAGCGCTTGAAACAGCGACACCATCAGCTCCTTGGGACCCTGTGTGTTGCAATACAAACATAATATATTAATATAAATGTACAAGTTTATGTCGCCCTAAAATGTTGGCAATCTAAACGTTTCAGCTACCGCATCGAAATGTGCCCGCAATACGCAATTGCCTAGAGTAGGCTGCCATTGAAGTTTTCGCCCGCTGTGTTTCTCCAGATAGAACTTGTTGAATATCTGCTGGGGATTGATAAACTGTGGTGGCATTGTGACCTCAGTGGGCGCATATGTTGGCCAATAGCCCATGGTTAGGATGCTGACTGTCAAGTCCAGATTGGTTACATCCCGATCATTGCTAAGCGTATGACCGCGGAAAGCCAAATTCACATCACGACTTAATTCCATATCCTTGAACATGCCCTCCAGCTTCGATGTAAAGCCGCCGCCGCATTCCTGTTTCAATTTCGACAACATACTCTTCTCGGAATCAACCGAGGCTGATTTGCCCACCAGCAAGCGTTTGGCCAAATCCTGCAAAGATCAAATTATAATTTCTTTACATACTAAATATATTTATAGTGTCTTTAACCTTTTTGTAGAATGCTTCAAAAACGTCCTTGCCGTGTATAAAACGAAACAGGACCATTATCTTGTCCAAGGTCTTTTCCAGCTCCTCGTCGGTGGTGCCCTTGTTGCCAGAGCGCAATTTCATATCCACATATTTAGCTACAAAGATATATATATATACATAATCATATTACGACATTGGTTGTCTATTTATATATAAACAACAAGAGAGACAAAGAAAACATACCAATAAGCTCAGCGGGCTTGTTGGCGCGCTGATTGATGAAGAATTCGAAGGCCTCTCGCAACGAATTTGTGAATTTCTCATTGTGCTCAAAGCAAGTGCGCACAATAACATCCATTTTATCCTTGAAGTCCAACAGATCTTGCACCATACTCTTATCCTTCTCTGGATCAATGACAATAGTGCGTCCTTTTTTCTACAATATATAAGAGTGTGATGTGTAAATGATTTGCAAAATACGTGCACTTGGTTCCCCATACCTTGATGTAACCATTAAAGTTGCCGCATAGCTCGGAAGTGCCGTTTTTGACGCGACTAAGCAGGCCATACAAAAGGGTTAGATCGTTCAGTCTGTTGTCCTCTAGAAGGGAGTCAAGGCCCTTTTGCAGAATGGTTGTTAAGTGTTCGGCAAGCAGTTCCTTTTCCACATTGTATATTAAAGGATGTCTGAAAGAGCATTCAATGAAATTAATTGATAGGAAATAAATATATATATTATAAAGCCTACTTTGTGCTGGAGTCCAGATAGTGCAACAGACGCTCATTCTCCTCGGCCAGTCGCTTGCTCACATGCTGTAAGTACTCGGGCACCTCCAATTCCTGCATCTTTCGTTGACTCTCAGCCTTGTACAGTTGATTGGTCGCATCCAGGAACTTTTCCTCAAACGCACTGCTATATATCTGCAGATCGCACAGCATACGCACTAAACTCTTGAGCAATCCACGATCGACTGTTGAGCCCTGGCGTTCCTTTTCGATCAGCGTCAGTAAACCATCAACGGTGCGTTTCTGCACGACGCTATTCTGGGCAAAGTGTATGCGAAAGAGGTCCAGCCCCATGTCCCAAATAGAGTGTATGGACGAATTTTGCAGCACATAAGTCCGATCCATATATAGAAATATGCTACGTATCATGATCATTTGCTGACAAAACGATAGCCACCAATTGTTGATCTTTTCCAGCAAAACCTAAAAACAATTTAAGTGCAATATAATTGACGATTGGCTCTCACTCTCACTCTCTCTTCACTTACCAGTTTATCCATACTTCCGCCAGTTAGCTCTTTAAGTTTGATGTTTCTTTTGACGTGCTGCTCGGTTAGCTCCATCAGTTTTATATATAGCTGTGCATCCATTTTATGACTGCACATATTTACAACGGCCTGGTAGAGCTCCTCCAGTGAATATTTGATGGGCTTTGATAATTGAATAGCGATAACGGCCTCCTCAAGTTTCACATAAGTGTCCTCTGAATAGTTATCGGGCAGTGTGGGTTTAGCTATAACAATTATATGTAAATGGTATGTGAATCGTTATCGTATATCGCTTATCCTTATCGGGGGCTCACTCAATGAATGCTTAATGCTTACCCTTAAAGTTCTTAATAACTATCTTTTTGACATCACCCGGCTTGGTGTTGTGTATGGCGCCCATCCGATTAAGCAGATTTGAGGTAGTTGATGCCGAACGCATATCGCTGCCATGATGCGAGCCCAATTTCGAAAAATTTGGCAATCGTTCGCCGTTTGTGGACGCTGCTGAATTCATATTTTGGGCAGCGAAGGCGCTACGGCCAAGGTTGCTCCCAGTCGTTGCGTTGCTGCTGCCGTTGTCCCCCTTCTTCAGGCAGGAGGCAATATTCTCGGTGTCGTGCAGTTCAGTCGTATCCATGAGCTTGTATTTCTTTGCTGCACTCATTGCTTGGAATGAGTGTGCGGTGCCCAATGCGCTGGAGCTGGATGTGCTCACGGCGCTGGCGTTGGCGATGACGATTGCAGATGACTACTGCTGACCAGACACTCGCCTGCTCTGAGCACTGTCACCCTAAAGATTATACTGCTCCCAAATTTATAAGATTTTGGTGATAATCAAACGAAAAAAAAAATTGCACTCGTATTGGCATAAATTTACCCCGTGCTAGTGCTAAACAAATCCGACGATATCGATAGAAAATGCCTTTCGCTAGTTTTGCACACTTCTCAGTGTCGCCATCGGCAATAAACGAATAGCTTTGGTAAAAGGCACTTTCTTTATTGAATTTCAAGTGACTTATTGTGACCGGGCACTAAAATTCCAACGGGCAAAGACAATGATTACTATTTACGCGTTAATTCTTTATTTGCACTGCACAGCTCAATTTATGCATTGGAGATTAGTGACAGTAATCGATAATATATTTACATACCACCACAAATCTATACCGCACACGGCAATTCCAGCAATATCGATACCTATCCGATAGAATGAAGTATGTGCGAACGTATGACAGCACGACCATGCGTAACCTGTATGATGAGTTAGCTAGTTCACTCATACCCGTTTACCCGGTCATTATTTACCGTTTCATTCAAACATAGATTTTGTTTTTGGTAAAAACACAACCTTATATGTATGTATATATGTAATAAGCGTTGAGTTTTTCTTTTATTTGTCTTAAATATAATATCAAATATGTTTTATAAAGTAATATTAAGGTTTTGCTAAAATAAATACTGAAACGTGTATACAAAATGTAAAGGGTGGCGTGTACATTAAACAAAAATTGTATCTACAGTTTACATATACATAATGATGATGTGTGTGGTATACAACAAAGTCAAACAAGTCCAGCACTCTATGTTTCTCCTTCCTTCCTGCTCCATTCCTTCGACAGCTTGCTTTGGAATTAGATATATATATTATATTATATATGTGTGCTTAATTGGTAACAACTTCTAGGTACAGAGGGTTGAAATGTTGACTTATCGTTTTAAGAACTTTATGTATATTATAATTAATATTTTTAAATATGTTCTTAGCATTTGGGCTTTAGTTTTACGTTTGCAATTGAGTTAAGCTTTAATCTGAGTAAACCTTCCTTTTTTATTAACGTTGTTTTATAAACTTTCATTTAAATCCATCAACAGTATTACATAATTTGTGTACGCGTTCTATATAATTTGTAAAGCCAGACCAGGTCGGCTTTTTTATTGTTAATACATATTTATATATATATATCTGTATATGGCAGCGTATTGTTAAGCATTTATCAATACCTAATTTCATCGATTTCGATATTCCATTTAAACACACAAATCTTGCATTAGTTTTTTTTACAGCATTGGGAGATAGACTTTTTGAGGAAAGCGTGATGTTTTTTGTTTTTTTCATTTTTTGAGCTAGCAAGTAAACCTAATTAAATATACCATAGGATAGGATAATAATGAGTAGGTTTAGCTATAAATTATAGCCTATAACACATTTGCAGGACATATTCAGTTGTAAAAGCAATTCAAAGCGGCGCCTACTTATAGTATATGCTTTATAAAATGATAGCAATATCGATTTAGATATACACAGTAAGTGTTTACATATAAATTTAGTATACTTTAAATAGGTTTTTTTTTACAAAAAATTATAATAATAATAGAGAATTTTATAATAATTTGGTTTGCGTTGATAGCACAACAAAATAAACCAAAATAATAATAAAAAAAAAATAATACATATAATTGTAGTTGTTTGCGATTAAAAAGTGTAATAAATAATATCTTCTTTCTTTTTTGTATAATACATGCACGCAACCATACAAATGCACACTCGCACACACACACACACTCGCACACCTCGACAATCATACTCTCACACAGTTGTACAGACGAACAGGAGCTGCCCCTTTTAGTCGGGCAGCATATGTACAAAGCTAACGGGGAACATTCCGCGCCGTGCCGGATGCCCCTCTATGATGCCCTCCATCCAATTCTCGTCATCGGTGCGCTCATTGAGCACAATCAATATTTCACCTTCCTTAAACTCCAGTTCATCATCGTTGTCCGCAACGCAATCGTAAAGCGCTCGACAGCGACGTTGGCCATTCTAAGGGATGCGAAGTGGGTATAATAATAATTTCAATAATATTTATAAATATATATAACAGCTTACATAATGCAATTTGGAAACGGAGCCACTTGCATTCTTCAGTTGATTATCGGGCGAGCTGTTTAGCCTGTCATTGTCGCTAGAAGAAATATTCGAGTCGGCGGAATGATCCAGGCCGCCGCCAGAGGAGTCCATATCCGTGTGCCACGACTCATAATCCGTAAAATTGGCTGATTGATTGATGAGCTAAGCAAAACAAAGAGTTCAATTAGTTAAATTTATATAAAATAAATAATTAAATACAATGTCTCAGTTAGTGCAACAAATATTAAAAACATAGAAGATAAACAGACAAAAGTTTTGGGTTGTTTGAGTTTGATTTTGAGTTTGAGTTTTTTGAGTATGCGCGATTGGAGTTAGAAGAGCTCTAGAGAAGATGCACACGGCACATATTTAGTAAAAACAATCAAAATTAGGTATATAGATATATATATAATATAATTTATAGATATAAATAAACAAGGAACAGAACAACAACAAGAACGGCATAAATTGGTTTGATTTGATTTGTTTTGAATTGATTGTTTGAGTTGTCTCTGACATTTACCGTTTCCTCGCTGGAATGCTCTAATCTCAACAAGTTCTGTTGCTTGCGCTGAAATTTGTTGGAATTACAGGAGATATACACATGGATACATTGATCATAAAAAAAAGAACTAAGCACGCGCGCGCCTCTTCCTTGTCTTCGAGAACGGAACGACAAGGATGCAAACAACTTACCTTCCGTGGCGGTGCGATTGGACCCTCTTCCATAGAGCTGATGCTCTCATTCGATTGTCCATTTGGTATTTCACGTTCTGTAGGGGTTCAAGGAAAAACTATTATTCTATATGTTTATAAATAAGAGATGGTAAGGTTTACCTGCTGGCGGACCGGGCGGTGGTATTTTGGGTCTCATCAGCGCCGATTTATCCACATGTTTGAGTGTGGGCAGCTCTCCAGTGGGCGGCAGCACTAGCTTAGCGCCCGCTAAATGAATATTACGATTCAATGATTCTCCACTGGGCGAACGCTTATGGCCAAAGGTTGTCATGGGCATTAGGCTGTTATTGCTGCCATTGCCAGCACCTGCACCACCACCACCTCCACCACTTCCACTAACGCCGCCTGTTATCCTTGGTGAGCTCTCCATGCTCCGCATGTGCGGCAGCGTGCCATACGCATCCATGGACTGATTCTTATGATTGATAGAGCGAATATCGTTGGCATCCATATTCTGTGAATGCCTGGGCGGATGTGGCAGTGTGCCATAGAATATACTGGCCGGAGTACCGGGCGGCGGTGCTGGCGCTGTGCGCTTCTTCAGCGAGTTCATATTGGCTGTGGACGTAGATTTCCGGGCCCCTGTCACATGACCCAGCTCGCTCTGCATGTTCAAGCTGTTCCGAGTGCCACGCATATTCTGGCTGCACGCCGAGCTGGGACTGGAGCCACCGCCGTTGCCGCTGTTGCTATTGTTATTGCTGCTGCTGACCACGCCCAAACTGTTGCCACTTCCCAGATATTGGCCAACATTCGTGTGCTGTTTGGGCGATGTGCCCGCCGACTGCGTATAGCTGGGCAACGTAAACTGTCGGCTTGGACAATTGGCAATTGGACTAGAACTGGACTGTATTGAATCGCAAGTCGATGATCGGGAGCGCAACACTGGCGAATCGCCACCAGCAAAGCTGGGCGGACGTGAACGCGATTTCTGCAAAGAGTTGAAATACTTTGTGACTTATGGTAAGTTCTGAAACGATATATATATATATAATCCTATATATACTTACGCGCTCATCTATGACAGTTTCATCATCGCTGAAATCTGTAGAGCCGTCCTCGTTGGGCAGATTCCAGTCAGTGTTGATGTGATCAAAGGCGCTCTTCTCTCGCTTTATGGCACACTCAATCTGGATCATGAAAGCGAGTTTTAGGACCGAAATTTCATTATTTTTATGAACTATTGGCTTACCAGCTCCTTGCAGCTATTGTGACCCATCTCTTTGGCAATATCCAGCGCTGTTTTGTTCTGTGAATTGCGCAGCTCGTAGTCAGCGCCTGAGCGCAAGAGCAGCTTCATGCATTCGCGACGATCGTGTAGTGCACAAAGATGCAAGGGCGTATTCTTGCCCGTCACATCTAGCACACCGGCCGGATTGGTGGCCTTATTCAGGCCCTTGGGCGGCATATTCTGTATTAGAAAATCGACAATGTGAAGCGTGGAGCCGGCCTCGCGTAGCACAGCCAAATGGAGAGCTGTTTCGCCCGCATCGGAGCTGGGCAAACAGCAGGTGAGATCGGCGCCCTCGGCCCACACCTGCAGCAGCTGACTCATGTCCGCATTGACAATGGCCTGCTCCAGATCGCAGCGCAGATCATTGTCATCGGAGCAGGTGCGCATCACATAGCGCTTGGCCACATATTTGGCGCGTATGAAATCGTATCGCTCCTCCCTGTAAATGCAAAAGCAGATTAAATATGTATATCCAAAGGACTGCAACTGTTTAGCTTACATGCTGCTGTCGTGGTTAAGCTTGCCCCTGCCCAACTTGGCTTCCATAATGTCATTCAACGTGCTGTTGCCCATGGCGCGTGCTATCAACAGATTGGCCGTTGTTAGATTGTCCAGCGTAAGACTTTGGATGCGCGAATGATGCACGCCCAGATCCCGATGCACGCCCGAGCACTGTATGCAGACGAGTATGCCAAAGTTCAGGCTGATCCAGGTGACATCGTTGCGAGATCCACAATCGCAGCAGCGATCGTTGCCCGGCAATAGCTGCACATATCGAATCACTGTCTTTTGTAGCTCCACCAAGCTGGGACTCATCTGCGGATTGGCATGCTGGAAGGCCTTAGTTAGGGCCTTCTCCTTGCAATTCACCAATACTGCCATCCAAGCCTTCTGATCCGATTCGTCCTCCGCTTGAAAATGATACGGACGATTGTCTAAGGGATATTAGAGAATATTAATATGTTTTCGGAATTTACAATTTGAGTATGGCTTACAGCTGATCAAGTCGAAGCCACGCTTATCATCTGGCACCGGCTTTATCTGACAGGTGAGCAGATTAACACGCGTCGGCGGCTTCGATTCGTCTGCATGGAATATATCCAAGAAGCCATCACTGGTGACCCGGCAGCGTCGCTTCTGCCACACCCGCCGCACCTTGCCTTCGCTCTTCTTCAGCAGATGTCCCTGCCGTGTTACACCATGATGCTTGTCGCCCTGGAGCTGATGGAGCGAGTAACCGGCACCCGCTCCACCACTG